TAGTTTGCAAGCTCCCCCTGAGATTAAGAAGGTTTCTTGATTCCTTTGATTGCACCTCTATAGACTGAAAAACATAATTAAGCTAGACATTCTCAGAAAGCACATTTACATTAATATTAATTAATGCAAACAGCTGTTTGAGAAAGCCAGCCAGATCAAACTGTTACTTGGTCAGGTGTGACATCCTATTGTTCTCAAGTTATGAGTCATTTAAGTTAATGGCTTACTCCTCAAGCTACAGTTACCAATGCACTGCAGCCGCACAAAGAAACTGCTTTCTGAAATACTACATCCTTGGTTCACACAAGAATTACAATTCAATGAAACAACAAAGAATGTTCCATTCTTAGTACAAGAGCAACATATCCAAAAACTGTTACGTTTCCTAACTGAGCAAGAAAAGAGAAGAGTAAGCTTTCTAAGGAGGATTTAATTGGCCCATTGCCCATCCCGCACCATAGAAGTCTTTGACTCCTAATGCAGGGTCTTTTTTGGGATTCCATACCCAGGACCCACTTATTTTAACAAGACCTCAAGGCTGAACAAAAGGAAGGATGAACCACAGTTATCTTTTGTACCTGATATATTCTGAGCCATATGCAAGCATACCCTCCCTTTTCAGCTGTTATAGCATATTTTTGCCACATGCCTTCCAACCCAGCAGTTGGGAGGCAGAGGCAGGTGGATCTCTGGTAGTTTGGGGCCAGCCTGGGCTAAATAATGAGCTCTTTCCCCCAAACCTTCTCTCAGTGAAACATCTAGCTCCTACTTCCCAAACTATTATAAAGTTACAGGCATGCTGCTGCACAGGCTGTGTTCTATGTCATGGGAGTGTCTTTCAGAGCTCTACAGTCCTCAAGGAGGAGGGAAGAAAACAAGTTAGCTTGATTTAGTGCTGAGGGTGGGGTGGGGCAGACAAAAGAGAGAGCCCGGTTGACATGTTAACACGATTCCAGTCAGTAAAAGAGCATAGAATCTGCGTGGAAGAAAGGAGACTAGGGGGAACCTTAAAGGGATGAATGACTTGACAGACCTCTTCACCTGCGGGAGACTCAGTTTCAGTCTTTCTAAACCAAATGTTTGCAAGATAAACCTAGCTCTACAGATGACCCAGAAGACTGTTCAGATATCAGAATTCCCGAGTCATCTCTGTAACCATCATTTATCAGCATAGAGATGGTAAGTAGTAGACATCTCTAGACTACAGAATGCCCACTGAACAAATGCTATTTAAGAAATGAAAATGAACAACTGGGGCTTTCCGGGGGTTAGTTGCTTTGTGTTGCTTTTGGAAGAGACTCTTAGGTAGCCAGGTGCCCTGAATGTCTCTAAGAAGTAAGTAGAGGATAATCTTAGGTAGCCTCTACCTCAACTCTGTCTCTATGGAACCTAGAAAAAGTATAAATACCCCTCTCTGCATCATTCTGTCTCTGAGAAAATAAAAAATATTTTTCAGTAGATCATGTATAGGGAGATAAACTATAATTACTTTCAGGTTATTTAAGATATATAGAATTGAAAGGCCAAGTACTGAGGAATATTAATAGAGAATAACTTAAAAGAGAAAGGCATAGGCTAGAGGGTTTCGATGGAAGTTGAATCTTCTGAATTTCTGCTCCAAAGAGGTAATACCTATATAATCTACATCTATAATTGGGTGTTTACGGCTCGTATAGTTTTCTTTTAATAGCTGTCATGAGGCTTATTTGAAACGCAAGCATCAGCCTAATAGGATGGCAAATGGACTTGCAAAATAAAACAGCATTGGCAAATGAGTGCACTGTTTTTATTCCGGCATGATAGGATTTACATACATCTATTAAAACATACATATATAACCAGGTGCATTACCCAAATGTTCAGTTACAAGGGACACTAACAGTTTTCTGTCCATGGCAATTTCACTTCTGGTTTTGTTTTGAGGTTTTTTTTTTTTGTTTTTTTGTTTTTTACACAAATCATCGCTTGCAAGCATTGATGTTAAAAACAGAAAAACAGCCTAGTACACAGTGGCTATAAATGCCAAATCAATTTTCAGCAGATAATAAAGTCCATGTTTTACAATCAGCAATGCAGTGTTTTACTACCCAAAAATGTAAGCTAATAATATATAGCTCTCCTAAATGGAAAATGCAGATATGCTGTTAAAAAATGGGCCGACTGTGAGAGGACGGATCGTTTCTGCAGGGACCTTCTCAAAGCTATGTGTAAGTGTTTTGAAAATATCACATGATGTGGCCATGTGTTAAAGATTACAGCCAGTTAAGTTCTCTGCTAGGAAAAATATGTGGGCAATTTATGAAATGCACTCCAGGATGGAGATGTCTTAAGTAAAACCAGATTTTCAAAACAAACCTTTTTTCCCCCCTTTTGGAAACTTGAACTTTAAAAAAAAAAGTTCCCGGCACATCTGGAGAGCAGAACCATTGAGAAAGGGTGGTCTGACCTAATGCTAGCCATCTTCCGAAAGAACAGCACTATTTCTGGGCTCCAGGGACTGTGCTCACTGACTGTCCTTTTAAGGACACAATCCTGAACACATTCTGTAGGTCAACGCGTGTTATTTGATAATAGTACACAAAGACTGACAAAAATATAAATGTTTCAGAAAACTTGGGGTTGCTTTCTCTTGAAACAATGTAATACCAAGGTCTCCCAGATTTCTATAAGAACACTTTTCCTTCTCTTCTACAAAAACAAAACCAAAACAACAGCAACAAATAAACAGTGACAGGCAGTTTAGTCCTATTTCCTTCTGAGTGAGTTAGGTAGCTTCAACACAGGTTATTTCTCTAAAGCAACTACAACCTCCTTTGACTTTTCAGAGCTCATTTCGTAACAGTATGTTATCCACAACTAACAAAAGGAGGGGGCTGTTCTTTTCCCAGAACAGTTCTACAAAAGCCTAAATTAAAACTTTTTCCTCACCTGCCCACTCCCAGGATGCTGTGTGCCTGACTGAGCTCAGGGACTGCACATCTGTTTCTAGTGACTCTAGGCTTTATGAGAGGCATCTTAGAACTGAAGACTATTACATCAAGTCTAAGATAAGGAACCACTTCTGACACTTGAATTACTAAGAAATAAATTAGAAAGTTGATATTTAAATGTGCAGACAATTAAAAACCTAGTGATACCAGGTTATACAAACATCTTTTCTTTTAAATTTCTACAAAGAATGTTCTATTAAAAATTCAAAAGCTACCCCCAAGATGCTAAAAAAAAGTCCATTAATATAAATATGCACAAATGGACTAAAATATGCTAAAAACATATTAAGAGGTAACCCATCTGATACTAGATTAAAAAACAGTACAGATGGGTGTTGAAAATATCCAAGTATCAGATCTGCTCATGTATGGCCATCCTGGAACATGCTCACAGTCACAGCTGTTCATAGACTCTGCGTCCAAGTACAAGGTTGTCTAACAAGGAGGGAGGGAAGGAGGGAGGGAGAGAGGGAGGGAGGGAGGGAGGGAAGGAAAGAGTGGGCACCTATACTTCAGAACACCAATACAGAACCAGTCAGATATTAACAACTTAAAACTAAGCAAGCTTACAAGGGCAAAGCCTTAAGTTCAATACTTTGAAGACCACTTTAAAAGTCATGTGAGGCATAGGGAGAAGAGGCCTTAACTAGTTCCCATGCCCTATTATCATATACAAGCAGTTTTGGTACTATTTTACCAAAATACCACAGACTCTAGAGGATGCTGCTATACCATGTAACACTCGTTTATTAAGAGCATAAAAACAAAGAATATTTGAACTTTAAAATTTACATGAAACTGTGCTCCAATGGACTGGTAAAATAAAAAGCAAATAAAAAAAAACAGGCACTTTCACACCAACTCCATATTATAGACCAAGGGTCTCTTCCCTTACATGGTGCAAATCAAGATGAGAACTTAACGAGTTCAAGTGACCTTTCTAAGACCTCAGTTATTATCTTTTGAGTAAATTGCGTTTCCCCATATTTCAGCTCCTATGCATTCCTAGTCCCTCAAACAACCCAAAAAGTGCAACCCTGGACCAACGCCTCCTTTCTGCACACATATCAATAACAGTGAGAACGGACTCTGAGATGTATCCTAAAGGGAAAACATTCCTCAAACGACTGGCAATACCTACACACAACTGTGGTTGCAGAAAATTGGCAGATAATGTTTCAAAACACCATCTGGGAGGTGTGCAGACTCTGACCAACACAGCCTCTTCTGCCTGCCCTACCCAATAATCTGCACACAGCCGCCAGCTGGGAGCTCTGTGTGCCCTGCCTTTATCTGATCTGCATTCGGCAGCCGCGGCTGCACAGGACAATTTAGAGACTTCTCCAGAAAGGCAGAGACAGCCCCTCTCCACTCCAGGCTTCACAAACACAACCTTCCCTGGCAGCAACCACAGGAACACGCCAGCCTCCAAAGAGAATATTTTTCAGGGAAATTGTCATACACTAAATTTCCAGGGACCCAAGAATGTAACTAACGCAGCATACTTCTTCTAAATGACCAGATTTCAACTGTTTCCATGATACCATCTAAGGACTATAATTTAGGGCAAGAAATCCCTTCTACTGCCAAAGCTTCCTTCATTTTCTTTGACATAATCGACCCTTCAAAGACCTTCTCTGAGAATTCTGCCATAACCCCAAAACTCTCTCCACAAACAAATATCCGGCATAGAAAGTGCAGGTGACAGTCCTGAAACCCAGAACAGAGACACTTCGCAGTGAAACTAATCCCTGGTTCTAAACTGCTCAGGGAAAAACATCCCCCCCCCCCCCCCGCTGCCCTTCCCCTGAGCTTCAGAGGCACACCTCTTCATGGCCTGCACCCCCACGTCCAGATTTTGATAGCTTCCGCATGTTGCCTCCAAATCACACACCCCCATCACCCCACAGCCTCTCCCTGCCCGGTTCAGTAGTGGCCGGGCAGATGCTTTTTCCCATGCATTGGGGAAAGTAAAGCTTCCTTCCTTGCAAGAACAGAGGGTTCACTCACCAGGCATCCTGGAATCCAGCGTGTAACACACTGAAAGCAACTCGGTGTTAAGAGGGAGTGCGATGCGGGCTCATGCCTCCTGTTATGGAATGTGCGGGGCGGTGGAGAGGAGGGCCATCAGAGGGGCTGGGGCGGCATGGCCCGAGGCAGGGAGCTGGGCGCGTGCGCCTGCCAGCCAGAGACAGATGGAGAGCTGACACTCCGGATTGCACTTGGAGCAGAAATGTGGAGGATGACAGGAGCACATGTGGCCTTGAACCCAGCCCTGTCTCTTCAGGCAGAACAATGACAGGGACGTGTGTGCAAAGTATCACAACTCCTGCCTCCCCTTCTCCACTGTACCTCCAGCCCCGGTTCCAGAGCACCAAAAAGCAGAAAGTGAAATGCAGAAAGATAAGCTAAATGCTGAATAATTCATTCACCACCACCCCCTTCCCAGCTCAAAGTTAACCCTTATCTTGCCAAAAGATGGCAATGTTGACCCGGCTCCCTGCAAGGCTTCCGACCTCTTCTAATTTTAACAGGCATTACTGGGAAGTAGGTTTTAGAACAAACAAGGGCACAGACCGCAGAGCTCTTTTATTGATCTGGAAACCCCGAACAAGCTCAAACCGTCTTGTAAGACTGTGTGCTGTGCCAGCTCACCGTCCAGCACAGTGTCAGGAGTTACTCTTTCATCGGCTTTCAGGAGCATCTGTAAAACAGCACGCTCTTTTCCAAGTGGAATCCAACCATTTTTAGTTTACTAGAGTGCTTCCAGTCTCCTGGGATCTCAGGTTGATGTGCTCCAAACCTTTTCAGCTTTCTCTCCTCTACTTTGCATAGAGATCCACAGGAGACAAAAACAGCATCTTCATTGTAAAGTCTTTTCAAAATCTCTCTCTCGCTCTCTCTCTCTCTTTTTTTTTTTTTTTTTTTTTTTTGCACACCCTCAAATGTTTATCCTGACCATGAATAACACGCACCCAGCCTGGTTCAATGGGCTCTTCCCTATTAAGCTTTAATGGACACCATGATATATAAAACTAGGAGCCTTTGTTATGGTGCTTTATCTAAAGCTGGCTATTTTCCTCTCAGCAGTCTCCCTTTAGTCCTTTGTAAAACATCCTTGCCTCGTAGGAGAAACATAAGCCTGCCTGCCTGCCTGCCTTGCATGCTTGTCTCTAAACACACAAAACTGCAGAAGGACAATATCATTCTCTTGGAAAACTCTTCTTTACAATTTAACACTCATAACTCTTCCCAGGGTCTGTGTTGTTCGACTGTTTGTTTTAACAACAGGGCTCCTGTGGTGGGCGACTCCCCCACCCCTGCTGTACCTTTCCAATGGACACCCATCTAATCTGCTAGACACACACAAGTCTACTAAACAATTCTACCCAGGACTGACCAACCAGTGACCATGAGGACAGGACCGGCCCCTTTAACTCTTGCTATTCTGGCAGTGATCAAGATGTCCTTTGCTTATCTGACATTTTCTATAAGCTTTTGTGAAGTTGCTTTTTACCCGCTCCTTGCCGCCTTCAAGAAACTCTAAAGGACCCTATCTGAAAGCAGGTAGTGACTCTGCCCTCTACCCACCGTCTTCCTATTCCTTTGCCCGAGTGTATTTCAGAACACCAGCACACAACACACACTCTGCACAAACAAAAAGTATATCATCTTTGATAAACAGCATCAATCAATAAGAACTTCTGCAGCCCCTGAACACTGGACCTGAGAAGGGCTGCTTTAGCCAGTGAACCCCTCAAAAATCCATCACTGTCAGAGCCAACTTGTAAAAAGACTACAATTCATAATGATTACTCTGTTCTGTCACTAATAGTATACTGCAGTCTATTTATGAGGCTAATCTTTTTGTTCATCTTAGTTAGATGTCACTTGTAATGAGGTTCTGTGTAATGGATTTCAGTTCGGTTAAGCACCAAGCTCAAACATTCTTGTGACAGAAAGCGTTATAGCATGCATGAGTATGATCATCAATTAAGTGCTGGCATAAGGGCCTTTATGGAATCCAGAATCCTAAATCAGAAGATTTTCATTTTTTAAAAAGAGTTGTTTTAAAAAGGCACTCAATGCTATGCACCACTTTTTTTTTTTAATACTATACCTATGGTAGAAAGAAAACATTTTCACAGCGGGACACCCAGCCTTTCATCAATATGCACTGTGAATCACTTCTAAAATAGAAAATCATATGACAAATTGCAATACACTTCACGAAAACTGGATGATATCTGGTTTTAAACATGGGTCTTAATGTCGGTCCACTCCAAGTCCCTAAGCCACAGCTCAGAAAATTGAACTTCCATATGCTGTGTGATTATGTATCTGTTCTGTGTGTAAAAAGGCTTTTTAAGCTGTTATCTGACTACAGTAATTGCCACTTTAAATTGATCCACGTCAACAAAACCTGGATCCCCGGAGATTCTCACCTAGAAGTCTGATTGCATCTGAGGCTGGTTCAGCGTTTTCCTCAAGGAGCATGTCCCCTTCTCTAGCCCAGAGACAGGCAAAGCTACAGTCCCAATTGGCACCTCTCCCTGAACGGGGAAACCTGGCTATGTATAGATGCAGTTACTTAGACAGAAATAACTTACCCTTTAATAAAAAGAGTACAAGGAGCCAAGATCTCTAACATCCAAATTGTGTAATGAAAATAGATATAACATCCAAACTGTATAACAGAAACCAATAGCATGATGAATGCATTGACAAAGGTGAATGGTGACCAACAACAAAGAGGACTCAGAGTATGCATTGGGAAAGTTTTCTCCAGTACAAAATACTGTCCTGTACCACCATCAATATGGATCTTATAAAATTAAAATATATTCAAAACAACTAAGAATACATTAACGACCGATTAAGCACTTTCTCAGGAAAGCCCTGGCCATTAATACATAACTTTCAATTTAGAGGAGAGACTATTTTTTTAGAGGTAGTTTTAAAATGAAGGGTTGTCTACATCACCACTTTCAAAATCAGCAAATTAAGCCAGTAATGACACGCTGGACTCACTGAAGGAAAAAAGAATGCGTGAGTAGGTTTGTGACGGTAACTTCGTTATCGCTCATCGTCCGAGCACCCCAGCCCTATGCTACTTCCACAGCAGAACAGCAACACAGCACACTTTCCCTTTGTTCGGATGGGACTCAGCCACACATGACAGCCGTCCAGTGGCATTCTCTGCAGCAAAGCAGAGACCTGCACCCTGGTGAAGAGGGAATTTGGGCAGAAGCTCTTCCAGAGCCTTCTCAACTTCCCTCCCTGCCTCTTACAGACTGTCGCCATAGACTGTGCCTGCACACAGTGGGTATTAAGTGAGTTCATTCAAAGGATCTGGAACCTCATTGATCCTAATTGAAAGCAATACACCCAAGCAAATACTCTCCTACCCCATCTGCTCTGGCCTGCCACCAGCTATTCAATACAAGAGAATTAATAGTTTCAGATATTCTAACCGACCCAATAAAGGCACTCATTTAAGCGGGGCTGCATTAACAAAGTGAAAAACAAGGGCAAAATGGGTTCAAATGGAGCATTTTACTTCTAGTTGGCTTTAACAAAGCTGAATAAGGTTTATTCGGACTTTTTATGTGCAAGACTTGATAAACTGAATGAGAAGGCACCCAATGATCAGCCAACGAGCATTGATGAATGGTCATTAAGACCCCCCTGCTCTCGGGGAGACCCTTCCACAAAGTGGCACACCAGCTTGAAAGGGCGGATTCACAAATGTCCAGATTTCTCCGCTTGCTTGTTCCACTTTCTATTTCAGACCACTGGCCACCAAATGAGGCTGACATATTGGAAAATAATGTTTTATGGGCGAGTGGTAAAAAATAAAATGGAGGCATTAGCTCTGCTTTCAAATTCAAATCTTCTAGTTTTGTCAGACCCCAAAGGTTTTGATTTTCCACCCAGCTGGAAGCTATTAGTGTTTTCTAAAGGCATCCCACTGACAGGGCAAACCTACCTAATGTGTGAGCTGCTGGGTGGAGGGAGATGGACCTCTCTGGATGATTTCCTAACTTCTCATCACTTTGACAGTCGATTAAATAGATACAACACCCAGTAAAAATGTACATTAATTTGTTTCTGCCCCTGAAAGACATTTGAAACTGTATTAAATAAAGGCCATAATAGATTGTCTCCTGACAAAGATAAATCCAATTATACTTCGTCTGCAAGAAAAACAAATGGCGTATGTTTCAGGCTGTAATGTAAGATACAGCCAACCACAAAGAAATGAGTGGGATAGAAAATAAGTCATAAAGTTCACCGAGTGTTCCATCACGGTGAGAGGTTAGCTGTCATCTTTTCTGTAAATGCCTGCTGCAAAGAGATAGATACAGTCAGGCAATTTCTAGTATTTTCTTGCGGGGGAATGATTGGCAAGCATTTGCACTTCTCAACTGTCAGCTGGCATCCAGAAAGAGACCACAAGAACTTTGCTTAATTGACAAAAGAGCAGTGTTGTGACTGTCACCTTAAGAATCTGAAGGGTGTATAAACATCATGGGGTCAAAGGTTTTGTAGGGCCGTCCTAGAAGGCCTAAGTGCTAAGCAGTAAGATGCAATGGAATTAAAAGGAAACAAACTGGAGAAAGGAAGCTGGTCCTAATAGGTCATTATACAGACATTACAAAGCCAAAGAGGGCTGTTTTGCTTCGATCACTTGCAACCAGATAAATAAGCCCCCCCTCCATCCTGTCCAGAACATGCTATATGGTCCTTTGCTATCCGGCCAGTGGGAGGCAGGGAACATGGTAACAACACAACCTCTACACTTCACCTTCTTACACTCAACTCAGTTTGATTTTTGTATCTCTGTTAGCTTATGTCGGCTAATAATGGGCTCTAAAACTAACATGACACTTCCAACCTTAGAAATAACTTCAAAGAGAGCCGGGTGTTGGTGGCACACGCCTTTAATCCCAGCACTCGGGAGGCAGAGGCAGGTGGATCTCTGTGAGTTCGAGGCCAGTCTGGTCTATAGGGCGAGTTCCAGGACAACCCCCAAAGCAATACAGAGAAACCCTGTCTCGAAAAACCTAAAATAAGCCCATCTCTGTGACATTTTTCCCCTCTTAAACATGTTTATAAAACAAAGGAGCGCTTCCAATCATTCTGACAGACTTTTTGTAGTTGGTGGTGATGGTAGTAGTTTTGGTTTTGGTTTTTTTTGTTTGTTTGTTTGGTTGGTTTGGTTTTTTGAGATAGGGTTTCATTGTGTAGCTCTGACTGTCCTGGAACTCACTCTGTAAACCAGGTTGGCCTCGAACACACAGAGATCTGCCTGCTTGTTCTTCCCAAGTGTTGGGATTAAAGGTGTGCACTACCACTACCACCAACACCACGCCTGGTATTTTGACAGTTTTTTAAGCAATGTATTTGATTTGAGGGCTTTGGTTAACAAACACCGAGGAGACAGAGTCAGGTGAATCTCTGAATGCTTAAGACAAACCTGGTCTACTTAGCAAGTTTCAAGCCACAAAGAGCAAACATAGTAAGACCCTATCTCCAAAACAAAAGAGAAAGAAAAAGAAAGAAAACCTTAAATACACACACACACACACACACACACACACACACACACTCTATATGACAAAAGCAAATGTGTTTGTTATTATACACATAAATATGTATATATTGTAAAAAATATATTTTGTGCAAAATGAAGTGTTAAAAGTATTACTTTCTAGAAGTAAATAGAACCTGTTATTTATAATTATTATTACTTATTTATAATAGTGACAGTGTTGTTATACTATCATAATATATTGTATGCTTTTGGTAACAGGCAACTTTTGACTTCCTAACATAATATTTAAGAAAATTCAAAATCCGGAAACTGTTTTAACATTCACATTGGTTGAACTTTATTTTATGTAAATGAAACTTAAACCTACTAACGTTCTGAAAAGTAGATTTCTCTTCAGGAAGTGTGGTTAAAATTCTGTTTTCTTTTTAGATTTTAAATAAAAACACTTCAGTTTTAGCCTGCAATGTAGAATACTAGTTCTATTGACTCTCTTTTCAAATAAAATCATTATTTGCTGATACAAAAAAAAGAAATCTTTAAACTATCTATTTGCATACAAACCTGCAGATAAGTTACAATTTCCATTTCCACCCCATTTTCTAACCATAAATCCACTGGGATGAAATAGAAGATACCTAACTACTCAGTTCTATCCCTGTGACAAGGCCTGTAACACTATATGGAAAACCTTTGTCTCAATGTCACCACCTTCCCATCTTGACTAATGGCTAGTTAGTTTTGTTAAAATGCAAGGGTGATGGCGTATGCTCCAATGAACTTTCCCTCCTCTCAGCACCAGAGACAAAAACCCACAGCTCTGCTGTGTGCAGGCAGCCATCTGGACAGCTTTCCCTCAAAGCCCAGCCCACACCACACTGCAGGCAATCAGAGGGCTCCAGAGCTCTGTGGGGCTATTCATGACATACCAATTTCACATTTTCTGCTTGTAGGCTTGCAACAATAAATGCTAATGAGGACTATGAATGACAATTTTAAAGACAATAAAAAGGTCTCCAAATCCCTTGCATATGGAGACACTGTTTTCAAAACTCCACCTTCTGTTGCAGCCCTGTAAGAATCTAAAGGATTAAAAAAAAATAATAACCTTAGGAAAACAATAAGATGATCAAAGCACAACTGAATCCTTAAGATTTCCAGAGAAAGCAATCTGTATACGGCCAACAAACAACAGACTTCAGCAACACCATGAACAACCCCATGAATTCATAAGGCACCTTTAATCTCTATTATCCTTGTATCTTGGACAGGACACTCAATGGAAGACAGTACTTCTAACTAAACACTGACTTTTGAGCCTGAGAAGCAATTATTCAAAACTAACTATAGTCAGCATGAAGTCCATCATCGTTCTTGGGCCAAATAGTAAATATTCCACATATTTTTAAACAAATAAAAATGTAAACTGGTTCTCTTCTGGTAACATCTACCTTTAAAACCAATACAATAGCAGACACTTAGAGGAGTGTCACAAGTTTGAAG